GCTCCAATCAAAAAAAAAAAAAAAAAAAAAAAAAACTGCATCGTTTACAACACATGCACGACGACACCATCTGCAGACGTCGCAACGCCATTGGACGGCGCACTACCAGTCCTGCCATTTGCTGACGTCGCCACGCCGTTGGAGCTGCGYAGGACCGGCCAGCTTACCTTCCCTCCCCTCAACCACCAACCCCCACCAACACCCCTCCCGCCCGTGCACTAACGTCTGCAGTTGTAGGTGCACAGTTCGTCGTTTCTTGATCCCATGCACCAATCCGTCGACGATCCGCAACCCACCACTGCCTTACGGACGAACCCATGTGTCAACTACCCTCATCTCCATCGTCGTCCGCCACGGACCCGTTGCCGATCCAGCCGTGTTTTGCGGCTTCTGCTGCATTATTCAGAGCGGCGTTGTGCCCAAACACCAACCCGCAATCAGACCATTCCGATATGCAATGCGGGTAATCTCCCAACGTAAGGTGGGCCTTCCCTAGATGATCCAAGACGAGGTTAGTGGTGTCGACGATGTGTCGCCGCCAGTTGAAGATGTAGGACCCCACCACTATCATTGTGGGTTTGGCGACCATGGACGCGTAGAACCACGCCTCGTAGTGCGAACGGTCATCGTCACCACCCATCTGCATGATCCACATGCACGCGCTCAACAACGCTCGAAGACAATCCGCAAGCCGCGACAACCTCTCCTGTTTCACACTGCCGCTGTTCGCCCATTGTCCGCACCACACTGCATCTGTCCAGCAGTCCGCCAAGCGAAGAACTGTCGTCTCCTGCCGCGCCGCCATGTCGTCGTCTTCCGGCCGGTCCACAATCTTCACCCCCGCGAACCACAGAGGCACGTCCATCTTCATCGCCACCGTGTGGTAGGCGAGGGCAGGGAAAACCACTTTGCACCATTCAAATCCCTGCCAAACTGCTCGTGCGACGTCTGTAGCGAGGTCGACGGTGATGTACGACTCTCCACGAGCGAAGCCAGTCCACCTTGACGACGATTTGAAGATCCAGCCGGGGATGGTGCGCAGCACTAGTTTCTCCACGCTGCGCGCTCTGTGCAAAGCAGGTTCATGCTGCGCAGGGTCCTCGATCTTGAAGCGTGGCACATCATTCGACGGCATTACGAGCATCGAAGGCGGTTCAGCTCCTGCGTCACCGTTAGCGATGGTGACAAAGTAATCCGCGCACTCGCCTATTGCCTCCCTCAAGGGTTTTCCCGGGCCCTGACCCTTGAAAGCGTCACAATCAACCCATAACTTCGACCTCGCGTCGAGATCATCCTCCTTTGCCGCTCCCTTCAACCTCGTAACAAGTGGACGGTCGTCGTCGTCATCGCCCTCCTGCTTTCCATCTCTTCTCCTATCGTTGCGACGGACGTCATCGGCCCTCCCCTCTTCCACATCTTCGGCGAGTCCGCTTGTTGTGGTGTGATCTGCCGCCGCCGTCCGACTTCCGCTCGCCGTCGCCTCGCCCTTTTGCGCGGACGGTGTTTTCCCTCCCCCTGAGCCCCCCACGCAGGGGGAGTGGCTGACGTGCCTGACCCTGGCCTACCACTGTCGGAAGTTGCCTCGGCACACACGCCTCAGTGATGACAACCCCTGCCGCCTTCGGGGTCCTCGGCAACGCCCCGGCAGCACCAACAACGACGCTTTGTTTGATAGCGGACAGTTGTTCCCTCGAAACCCCATCCCCCCCGAAACCCAATCGCATCGCCCCTGCCGTCCCTTGCGCTTCCACCATCGCCACTTCGTCTGCCTGAAAGTCGTCAGTGTGTTCGGAGCTCGCCTCATCAACGTGCTGCCCTTTCGACTTTGGCACGTGGCCTCTGCCTTTCTGGGTTTCCCCCGCCTCCCCTACTCCGCTATCTTTCCTGCCGTTTCCTGACGTGCTCCTCGGGGCCATCTCGTCCGCAACTCGGAAACAAGGAACACGTGAACGAAGGAGGACGTGGATGAAGGAACACGTGGACGAAGGCCGAGTGGAGGTCGACGACGGGCATGTGGACGATAGAGCACGTTGATGATGCGCATGAACGGGCACTGCTCGTGGAGCCATGACAACGATGGCGACCGAAAAAGAGCATGTGGACGAGGGAGGACGTCGAAGAAGGAGCACGTGGACGAAGGAGCACGTCGACGAAGGAGCACGTGGACGGAGGACACGTAGAGGTCGACGACGGGCACGTGGACGAAGGAGCACGTGGATGTTGCATATGAAGGGGCAGTGGCCGCAGACCCGCGACARTGATGGCAACCACAAAGGAGGACGTGCTCGATGCCCATTTAGGGGCACTGCCCGCGGAGCCGGAAGCGGAAGCGTGGAGCTGCGAAGCGGATGTGCAGGCGTGCGACGGCGACTCAGTGCGCAGACGGTACCGTTGGAGTCGTGGGAATTGAGTCACTGCGGTACGGAATGGTGCTCGGGCTCTCCTTTTGTACATAGTGCGCTCTCGCAGTACACCATGCACACGCCTCGCCGTCCACAACAGCCCGCTCCTTCGCAGATCGTGCATGGACCATTTTTTCCGCCGACCGCTGGTGATCTCTCACATGGCCAACAACACATGTGGGCGCGCAGGAGGACCGTGGTGGAGGTCGAAAGAGCCCGCCACCCCCAAAAACTCGAGGCACCCTGTACGCCATTTTCCCCTCCCGCCCGAAAAACACACCCTGCCACCTATCCCTTCTCTGACACCCCCAAAGAAGACCCTAGTAGATCGCTATCCATGCGTGGCGGCAACGCCTCACAAAACCAGCCATTAAACAGAATACAAAATCGGAGGACCTACTGTACAACCAAAGGACCCGCCGCAAGGCATGACAACAATGAATACCCTTCACAGACGTCAAAAAATTCCACGCTTAAATAAACTATGCGGGCAAAATCGACCCGCCGTCTCTACACCACCTTCCAATCACCGCACTGCACCATGCAGGACGACGGCAACAGCGATGGTCCGGAAGTGCACACGTGGCATTCGCGTGGACGTCGGATATGTCTGGCCGAGCGACATTAGGATCGTTCGCGGATCACTTAAGCAATCTCCAGAAGGGCGTCGCACATCATGAAGTTCGCCTAGTCAGCCTTCACATAGTGCTCCTTCTGCACTTCCAGCTCTCGCTCGAGAATGTCGCATTGCCTCGTCAGAATTGAGCACTTCCTCTTGCTTGCGCTGTCCACCGTCGTCGCCATCAGATTACCGCTATGTGTCCAAAATCCGATTCAACGAGGGTTTTGAGTTGAACGGTTCAACTCCCCGTTGAACCGAGTTGAACGTGGTACAACTCGGCCTGCGGATTTTTTTTTTGCACGCAAAACAGAGGTGCAAAAAAAAATAAAACATATGGGGGTGTATATGTTTTTGCTCTCTACATCCCCATATTTTTATGCCTATTTTTTGAGCAATTGAATTATTTAAAAAAAATCAAAAACAAAACCGGACTCAAAACAGATAGATTTTTTTTCCTTTTTTTTTTGATTGAATGATTGATTGATTGATTGATTGATTGGTGGGGGATGGGTCGCCCCCCCAACCCCCACCCAATCACACACACATGCACACACACACACACACACACACACACACACACACACACACACACTCACTTTCTTTCGCCCAAGTTGCACGGGCGGGGACCCCGCCCAACTTCGGCGCAAGTGAGAGTGTGTGTGTGTGTGTGTGTGTGTGTGTGTGTGTGTGTGTGTGTGTGTGTGTGTGT